AATTCGTATTATGACTTATGTCTGTCTTTAATACTTTATATGTTGGTTTATCTTCATCTGTTCCAGTCCATATGTGTTCTGAGAAAGTGATAGACTTTTGTTGTTCTGTCGTGGTGGTCCGGTGGAAGCCCATAGTCCGAAATCCTGAAACTCTGCCCTTTTGCAGTTGTGTGACCCAATATTTTTTGTTTGAGCATTAAGCATCACTGAGGTATAAAATAATAAATACTTATGCATGTTGGAACTTGGAAGCATTGTTTGATACGATGATGAAATTGTAGTTTGACCCAATGTTTTTCTGTGTAAATGTGTAATTATATATTCATATGTAATATGTGGAACAGTGGAAGCTTGAATAAGGTATTGTTGTTTCTGGACTTTGTACATCAGAGTTATGATGAAATGGGTGTTTCTGAATTCTAAGTGTCACCGTGTGAACACCTCAGAATGATGATGAATTGGTTATTAAGTTATTTGGTTGATAGTTTTCTGAATTCTAAATGTACAATGTCATGGCTCATGTCATAATGTGGAAGCTTATGATGTATTAATGTGCAATGTGTAATGTGCTGCCCATAATAGTATGATGAATTGATGATGAGTCATGAGTGGAAGCTACCGTGATATTATATTTTTATTTGACTTAAACAATAACATGTTAACATGAATTGGTTATTTGGTTATTTGTTTTCTGAATGTACAATGGCATCTGATCACTTATCATGTGGAAGCTTATAATGTCAATGTGTTGCCTATTTCTGAATGTGTAATGTGTTGCCTATTTGTGCATAAATGCGCTTATGTACTGATGATTGATGAAGAAGCCTTTTTTTACTCTTGTACTCAAACGAGTAATGAGAGTTGACTGCTTTCTTCCAAGGTGATATTATCCTTCTGTAGATCAGCTTGCTGATTGTTCCAGACTTAATGTATCATGTATGGTGTTACTTGGATTGTAATCTTAAAAGTGTATCACATAAACACTAGTTACACTATGATGAATTGACGATGAGTGGAAGCTACCATGATATTATGTGACTTAAACTACAACATGATTATGCAACCTCCTTTGAGTCAAGAAACAGTGGTGGAAGCTGAAATTGGTGATCCTAACACTACCAATGACCCAACTGCAGTCACAGCACCACCTCCTGTTTCTGGACAAAAAAGAAAACAGGTTGAAGTCAGATCTAAGATTTGGGAGCACTTTACCAAGATTAAAGATAGCAAAGGTGTGGTTATTAAGGGGAAGTGTGATTATTGTGCCAAAATATATTGTTGTCACTCAAAAAACATGGTACATCCTCCATCAGAAATCACATGCTTAGCTACTTAAAAAATCCTCATGCTAAAGACACTAGACAGGACCTCTTAACCTTTCAGTCAGTCCCTCCACAGCCAGGTCAACCTTCTGAAAATATTGGGGTCATGGGAACCTGGGTCTTTGATCAAGATGTTACTAGGAGAGCTCTAGGAGAAATGATAATCATTGATGAGCTTCCTTTTAGATTTGTAGACAAACAAGGTTTTAGGAAGTTTATGTTTGTAGCATGTCCTAGATTTGTAATTCCTTCTAGGTGGACAATTGCTAGAGACATCTATCACATATACTTTGATGAAAGATTTATCCAAAAAAAGATGTTTAGGGAACACAATCAAAGAGTCAGTATAACCACTGATACATGGACCTATGTACAGAGGATAAATTACACGTGTATAACTGCTCATTTCATTGATGATCAGTGGAAGCTTCAGAAAAGAGTCAGTTCCTTTGTCCCTGTCACTTCTCACAAAAGGGGAGCACCTGGCTAAAGCCCTAGAGAATTGCTTGCTTGAGTGGGATCTGAGAAACATTTTTACTGTGACTATTGATAATGCTAGTAGTAATGATATTGCTGTTGGGTTTTTAAGAAAAAATTGATATCACGGGGGTGCTTCTTCTATGAAAGTGAAGTATGTTCATATGTGTTGCATTGCACACATCTTGAACTTAGTTGTCCAATATGGCCTTAAAGATGTTGATACTTTTGTAATGAGAATTAGGGAAGCTATTAAGTATGTTAGGAACTCACCTGCTAGACTTCAAAAGCTCAAAGATATATCTAACTTGATAGGAGTGGAAGCTAAGTGTGGTTTGCACCTCGATGTTCCAACTAGGTGGAATTCCACTTACTTGATGCTTAAATCTGCTATTTCTAATGAGAAAGTGTTTGAAGCCTATGAGGAGAATGAAACTGCATTTGGTACTGATTTGGGTAGTGACATTCCTGATGTTTTAGACTGGATTGCAGTTGAATCTTTTGTGACCATTTTACAAAAATTTTATGAATTGACACTTAGAATTTCTGGCTCACTCTATGTTATTTCCAATACCTTTTTTTTCTGAAATATCTGATTTGTTCCTTGTCCTAAAAGAGATGGTTGCCTCTCCATCTGCTTATGTCAGTGCAATGGGGACTACTATGAAAGCAAAATTGGACAAGTACTGGGGTGATCCTGAAAAAATGAAGTCGTTGATCTTCTTTGCAAATGTGTTGGACCCTAGGGACAAGTTTGAATATATGCCATTTCAGCTCAATGCTTTATATGGTGAAAAAATGGTGCCTGGTGCCTTGTTTTTTTTGTCAAAGTGAAGTCTGGCCTCATTGAGTTATATGCTGATTATGTTGTTACATACTCTAACTGTGTTGGTGGAAGTTCTAATTCTAGTTCACATACTGCTGCATCTGTGGAAGTTAATAATGCTAAGAACAGACCAGTGTTAAGATTTAAGACTGAGCTAAAAAAAAGAAACTAGAGAGTGATCAGTTAGGAGTTAAAAAAACAGAACTTGATATATATCTGAAGAGTCAATAATTGAGGAAGATATGGACTTTGATATACTGAGATGGTGGAAGTTAAATAGTGAAAGATTTCATATTCTTTCTAAGATGGCTAGAGATGTACTTGCTATTCCAATCTCCACAGTAGAGCAAAGGTACGGAAAAAAAATAAGATTTATAAAATTACTAATATCTCATGATAAATACCGTGGTTAAATCCAGAATTCCGAGTCCACATTCAGTACAAGTGGAAGGGTTTTGGACTGTTTTAGAAGTTCTTTAAGTCCCAAAATTGTGGAATCCCTTGTTTGTGCACAAGATTGGTTGAGAATGGCTAACCAGCCTATTTCAGTTGAAGAAAACATTAATGATGTGGACAAATTAGAAAAAGGTAGTACTGTTATGCCTTTTTATTTATTTAAACATAATTTGTAATATAATGTTTTCATTTTTCACTTGTAACACTTCTGTTTTTTATATATATAGAATTAACAGATGTCAATCTTGGTAGTGCTGCTTCTGGGGCTACTGGATACTGTAATGTCCCATTAAGTGTACATTTTCTGTTTGCATTGCTATTTTTTAACATGAACTCGGTGCATTGATTCTATTTTACATCTCAACCTATTAAAGTATTAATTATGGGCTGTTGATACATTTCATATTGAAATTGTGACTTTGACTATGATGTCTCATTAGGGAAAGAACTACTATGATGGACTTAAGATTCCAATGCCCACTTGGTCCAATGCTATTGGGCCTTTATCCATTTGTCCCTTGGTCCCTTTGAAAGCTTGCATGGTAAACCACTTTTATGTTACAGTTCATACATATGATGATATGAACACACATGGCAGTGGTGAATGTTTTCAGGGTTTTGAGTTTTGACTTTAAACTTTTGAGTAATTATCCCATGACTCATAGAGGATTGTGTTGGTGTTAATCTTGTTTGGACAGTATGCCCATATCCTTTGTGAGATCATATGTGAGATAACTTGGAATCAATCTAAGCTTAACTTTGCATACCTTAAACTATTTATGAGTATTTACTTCTAAAGTTTATGAGTATTTACTTCTACAGTTTACTTAAACAGGATGAAATATCCAATTTGTCAATTTGGTGGTCTGGGTGTGGAATCTGAATTGTTCATTGTGGTGGAAGAAGTATGTATGAAGTAATGAAGTAATCATCTTGTACTAGTACGCCGCTGTTAAATATCAGTATGATATATATGATATATTAAGTAATCTGGTAAACTGGCAATGATGAAGTTTCCACTCATTACTGAATCTAAGGGGTTTAGGGTAGGTATTGTGTGACACCGCACCCGAACGCCCTTGAAAATTCAATTTAAAATTTAACATTTATGTATTGAATTTCCGATTTCCATACAATTGTAAAACGATTAATGTTTTACGTAGTGCATGATTGAATATCGTACTGTTCAAACTCGTATGTTAGTGTCGGGTTTTGCAAACACTTTTTGGGTCTTATTAATAAATAAAAGAGCCCAACATTACCTAAATAGTAATACATAATCCTTCAAGACAATTTGAGGAAGGTCGGGCGGCCCAAACATTATTTTGGGCCCAACCTGCTAAAAATAGCAAGTATTCGAGAATGACGTTCTAGACCCACTCGGGAGTGACCCACACGGCTAGTAGCCCAATAATATGTATGACAAATGTCCAATAAGTGATAGAATGATTAAAGGAGAATACAAATGCCTATAACCCCATCTTTGGCATTATTGAGCTAAATAATGGGAGTAGGATTTTCCTTCTAAAATATCCATCAAGTAAATTATTGGGATGAGCCTACACATATTGGAGATCAATAATGTGATTTAATAAGTTGACTTGTTCTAAATAAATTAGGATGAGTACAAAAAGACATCTTTGACAAAAGATAAAACAATAGGACCCATCTTCCTATTTTTGGAAGTATTGGTAGATGTTTTGGACCCCAAATTGATTGGGATCACTTGGGGAGCACCCCACACCTTCTTGGAACCTGCAAAATAAAGAGAATGAGTTAAAATCCTTGGTTGGGGCGGACAAAAAGAGAGGGGGGCTGAACAAGACATGTTTGTGAACCAAATGGACCCTCTCCCCATTTTTTTTGATTGAGATATCTTGCTCAATCATCCCACATGCCAACCCACTCCTATCCTTTGACTTTTGAGGCTAAGTTAAGGCCAAGATAACACTTCCCCAGCTCCCATTCGAACTCCCCAAGATAAGAGAGAAGAAGAGAGCCACACAACCTAAAAGAGCAAGGAGAAAGCAAACTGCCCGCAGGTTTTTCCTCCAGTGAAAGGGTTACTTGTTTGCTTCATATCTCGAGTTATACACATCCAAATAAGGCGTGCGAGATACCAACAGAAAGCTCTCAAGACGAGGAATCCGTGAAGGTCTGATTTGCATCAATCGGAGTAGTGGAAGGCTTCCAAATTGACCGAGCAAAACACGACCTCGCAGGAAACGTTTTTGTATTCAAAGTAAGTTTGAATCCAAAACCTTCCTCCCTATTGTCTAAATCATATAAATGATTGAAGAACTATTATACACTGATTGAAGTGTATAAAATGTTATTATTATGTGACTTTAATTGTTGGAAAGGTTAGATACTAACCTAGACAAAACCTTGAAAGGTTAGGGAACGAATTCGTCGGGAAACACCCGTTCTAGGGACTGTTTTGCGTTTTCGGTTGGGAGTTGAACTAGCACTTTGAGGGGGGCTGTTTAACACTCAATTTCAAGCAAGGAATCAGTTCTCAAACCTTCTTGGCCGAGGCTTTGGTCATTGGATCGAGAAGGAAGGTTTTAAAGCTCATTTGAGGTGAGGATTGACATCTAATTGCTTACAACTTGTAGGTTAAGCATGAGATTACCTAAATGCTTAAATCATTATTTTTCATGGATTATGATGGTTACATATTGATGAAATATTGATATAGTTGCCAAAGAATGAAATTTGAAATGATTTGAGAATGCATGAATATTATGAGATTAAATGAGTATAAATGAACTATCTTTGTGAAATAGGCATTTTGCTCATGTATGAATTATGTGGTTACATAAATGAATAATTGTGTATTGATATTGAATACTTAAGTTGCTGCTACATAATTATAATTATGTAGAGAATTACAAATAATGAGGATAATGGTATGATAACAATAATCTTAATAGTATTGAAATACTAGTTAGTGATTATTGGAACTTGTTGATTAAATTGATCCTAGGGATTGGATTGTATGAAAGATACTTGAATGTAGTTCAAGTGTATCTAATAACCTAGTAAGGAACTAAGGTTAAGTTATGGGAAGTCTTTAAGGATGACCCATGGTAGTTTAATGATATGTCAATTCTAGGCATAGGGTTGCTTGAGAATTGGACCTTAATGCATGGTGATGTGATAGAGCCGAGCTCTAGAATGCATGTAAGGTGTAGACTTGGAGTCTATGTATTGTATAGCTAGAGCCGAGCTCTAGGACTTGCGTGGTGATGTGATAGAGCCGAGCTCTAGAACGCAAGGTAGGGAAATTGACCCGAGGTATATGAATTGTATGGTGATGTGGTAGAGCCGAGCTCTAGAATACAATGTCATGAACTAGGGTTGGACTCTAGGAGTTGTCGTGGCTTATAGTCACAGGGTTGGGAATGGTGATTTTCCAAATGAACATGGGCCCACGGGCCGGCTACTTGACTTTTATATAAAGTAAGTATATTTTTAAACGGGGTAACTTAGGGTTACAATCATAATGTACTATCACCCTATTTGAGGGTCTTGAGTTTGAAATACTTGTTGTATATCTATTAGATGCCTGCCACACCAGTACTTTATAGCCGTATAGAGTACTGACCCCTTCGGGGGCGTCCCACCACCATTTCAGGTTGAGGCTAGAGCTTGCATCCTGTGCTCGTTGATCGGGCGATTCCTCGGAGAGAAGACTTGGTTCGTGCTTCCTCCGTTCTATTTGAAACATTATTAAATTTGCTCATGGATATTTTACTATAGAGCCTGCGTGCTCATGAATAGCCCTGTGTGGCTCTTTTGTTTTAAATAATGTTTTCCGCTGCGTTATGAATTACTTATTATGTTTGTTTATGGATGTTATATGTGTGAATGATATTCATGACGCCTTGTATAATATGAATGTGTTGGACTGCGGTTGACTATTCGTATTGTACGGCGGGTTGTTGACGTGTCCGGGTAGGTCCGGGGCGTGACAATTAAGTTGGTATCAGAGACTTAGTCCATAAACTTCATAATGAAGTCTCAAAATTCTCTTTTTGAAAAGATTTTGAAAACCATGAGCATAGAAGTTTTGTACTTGGAGAGCTTTTGGTACTTGGGTTGCAAGGTCTCTAATTGTTAAGATGGTACCCTTAGCAATTGGTATGGCAGTGACCCGAGCCAAAATGTGTCTTAAGTACCTATCCGTCAATTGACATTTGATACGAGTCTAACGACTCTTTCCCAATTTCTTTCAGAAATGGACCGTGGTGGCAGGATTACTAGGAGAAACCCGACCGGCCATGTACCAGTGGAGACTGGACAGGGCAGTCGAAGGACCTCTAGGGCATCTAGAGGAGCTGGCCGTGGAGGCCGATCACAGACCGTGAGTGACGGTCATGTCGACACGGAGAGTGAAACCTACTGGTCCTATGAGGACTCGACCTATCAACCGGAAACTGAACCGGTTGAGACCCCTTATGAAGGGGATGATGATGATGTAAGTGATGAGGAGGAAAATGGCTCCTTAGCACGGATTGAAGCACTGCTTCAACAGTACCACCGTGAGCGTGAGGAGAGGAGGGAACGCCGAAGGCGCCGGGCTGGGCAGCCTTCGGGCGGGGCTTCAAGAGGGAGAAGCCATGGCGACTCTAGGGCCCACATTGAACCACATGGGGGTCGGGGTGATGGGGGTCCAATCATAAGGATCTCCAAATACATCAAAGAGGCACGAGACTTGGGGTGCAAACCGTTCGATGGGACGGGTGACATCTCCGTTTCGGCACAATGGATTAAACGGCTGAATGAGGCAGCCCTGGACATGCAACTCACCCCCGAATATAAACTAAGGGTTGCGGTGAGATTGCTTGAAGGTATGGCATCCAAGTGGTGGGATGGGACCAAAGGCAAATATGGCGAGACCGTCACTTGGGAGAATTTCCGACAAGAATTCTTTGCCCAATATTACTCGGATTTTGAGGTGAACAAGAAAGTGAGGGAATACACCCTTCTAACCCAAGGGGGTAACATGACGGTGAGGGAACTTGAGTACAAGTTCAGGGATCTTGCCGATTACATACCTGAGTATGCTTGTGACGAGAACCGGATGGTGAACCACTTCTGGGATGCTCTAGACTTGGAGATACGTGACAGGGCAACACAATTGCCTAACATGACGTTTGCCCAAGTGGTTGACCAAGGGTTGAAAGGAGAGAAGCAATGGGAAGAAAGGAAGAAGAGAGACGCCGAGGAGGCGAAAAAGAGAAAATGGGAGAGTCATGGCTCCCAAGGTTCCAACAAAAGGGGGAACCACGGAGGAGGATCTTTCCGGGCACCACCGCCACCATCAAGGGGGAACCAAGGCCCAAGTGGGCAAGGCTCGAGGTCACAGACCTCAGTGGTAACTCGTTGCAACAATTGCAAGAGGAACCATTCCGGTAAATGTCGCGACCCCCCTAGATGTTTCCAATGTGGGGATGCCGGGCATTTGAAGGCACATTGCCCACAACTGGGCGGGGCAAGGACATCGGGACCAAGTAGTGGCCCGACGGGTACACGGAATCAGACCGGGGCTTCTCAAGCAAGCAGGGGGCAAGGGGGAGCAAGTGCGAGCAACGCGCCATCCGTGAACCAAGGGAGGACCCAGGCTAGGGTCTATGCGATGACGGAGGCGGATGCTCAAGCTAACCCGGACTCCGTCGCAGGTATTGCCTCTCATATACTAGTGTTTTACCCTTAATTAGTCCATAAATTGAGGATACTAATCGCTAGGATCATTGCACGAGGTTTTGGGGTCGAACCGGGGGATTTCGGGCAACTTCAGGCGGCTGGGACCCAGGCACGATCGTGCCTAAGGCAGACACGATCGTGCCTCCAAGTCAGTAGCTGCCCAGGAATATTCCCAGCCCAGGCACGATCGTGCCTAAGGCAGACACGATCGTGCCTACAAGGCAGTAGCTGCCCAGGGCTTTTCTCCAAACCAGGCACGATCGTGCCTAAGGCAGACACGATCGTGCCTCCAAGTCAGTGGTTCCCAGGATTTTTCCAACCCAGGCACGATCGTGCCTAAGGCAGACACGATCGTGCCTCCAAGGCAGTAGCCCCAGGGCGTTTTCCTGAGCCAGGCACGATCGTGCCTACCCCGGGCACGCCGTGCCTGGCACCCAGATTGCCGAAACCCGATTTTTTCGCATCGTTTTGCGACGTTAAGGCCTCTTCTTGATCCCTAACGTGCGTGTGAACATTGCAACCTTCTATAAATGAGTAGGGAGGGTAGGAAAGATGTCTTACATGGTTCATGAATGTAGGGACACTAAAGATTAACGGGAAGGATGCACGAATCCTTATCGATACCGGAGCGCAACGTTCATTCGTGAGTGAGGCGTTTGCCGAGAGCTTAGAGATGCAATCAATACCAATGACACAAACCTTAGTGGTATCAACCCCACTAGGGGAAGACGTTGAAAGAAACAATTACTATCCATCTTGTATGGTGGAAATCGGTGGCCAAACCTTGACGTGTGATTTCGTACCGCTGAGTATGATGGAGTTCGATGCAATCCTAGGGATGGATTGGCTAGAAAAGCATCATGCTAGGGTAGATTGCTACACAAAGGTGTTGGAACTCGAAGGCACACAGGGGGACACCCTACGCTTCGAGGGGGACCGCGGCAAATCAAATAGTTGTATCATATCCGCCGTGAGAGCGAGAAATATGATGAGGAAGGGATGCCACGCATATCTAGCATACGTGGTTGACAAAACCAAAGAGGAAACGAACGTCGATGATGTGAGGGTGGTTTGTAAGTATCCGGATGTCTTCCCTAAAGACCTACCGGGGCTTCCACCTGACAGAGAGATTGAATTTGTGATCGAGGTCGAGCCTGGTACCAAACCAATCTCCATACCGCCATACCGGATGGCACCCGCTGAACTTAACGAGTTGAAAACCCAATTGCAAGAGCTTTTGAATAACGGTTTCATTAGACCAAGCCACTCCCCGTGGGGAGCACCGGTTCTTTTTGTGAAAAAGAAAGATGGGACACTTCGAATGTGCATTGACTATCGTCAACTGAACAAGGTCACAATCAAGAATAGGTATCCGTTGCCTAGGATTGATGACTTGTTTGATCAACTACGAGGAGCAACCGTGTTTTCGAAGATTGACTTAAGGTCGGGGTACCATCAATTGAAGATTAAGGAAGATGACATACCAAAGAGTGCTTTCCGCACAAGGTATGGGCATTTTGAGTTCCTTGTTATGTCGTTTGGGTTAACAAACGCCCCGGCGGCATTCATGGACTTGATGAACCGAGTATTCCATAAATACTTGGATCGATTCGTGATTGTGTTCATAGATGACATCTTGATTTACTCAAAGAGTGAAGAAGAGCATGAGGAGCACTTGATACTTGTTCTTGAAACACTACGGGAGAAGCAACTCTATGCCAAATTTTCTAAATGTGAATTTTGGCTAAAGGAGATTGGCTTCCTCGGGCACGTGGTTTCGGGATCGGGGATTGCTGTTGATAACAAGAAGATAGAAGCCATTACTGAATGGGAGAGGCCAAAGAACGTCAAGGAAATTCGTAGTTTCCTTGGATTGGCAGGCTACTATAGAAAGTTCGTGGAGAAGTTCTCTGTTTTGGCATCGCCATTGACGAAGCTCACTCGTAAAGGAGCTAAGTTTGTATGGGATGACAAATGTGAGAAAGGGTTCATGGAACTAAAGAAGAGATTGACTGAGGCACCGGTACTTGCATTACCCAAACAAGGTGTGGGGTACGATGTCTATAGCGATGCGAGCATCCAAGGGCTCGGATGTGTACTGATGCAGAATGGGAGGGTAATCGCCTATGCTTCACGACAATTGAAGAAGCATGAGGTGAATTATCCTACTCATGATTTGGAGCTCGGGGCAGTAGTATTTGCACTGAAGATATGGAGACATTATCTCTACGGGGAGACATGTCACATATACACTGATCACAAGAGCTTGAAGTACGTGTTTACTCAGAAAGAGCTAAACATGAGACAGAGACGGTGGATGGAGCTGATAAAAGACTACCATCTAGTGATAGAGTATCACCCAGGCAAGGCAAACGTGGTGGCAGATGCTTTGAGCCGGAAGAGCTCGTCTGGGGCATTGATAACTAATTTGAGGGCATTAAGAGCCCAACTGGAGGTAACCAGCGATGGTGCCTTATTGGCACGATTTGAGGTGAGACCCACTTTACTTGATGAAATCAAGAAGGGTCAGGAAGCCGACGAAGAACTTATGAAGGTCCGGGAACGCATGCAAGCGGGGCCGGTGGAGGATTTCAGGGAAAGAGATGATGGTCTCTTGTTATTTCGTGACCGAGTGTGTGTACCGTCAGATGATGAGCTCCGAAAGTCCATCTTAGAGGAGGCTCATTCATCGGCTTATGCCATGCACCCGGGGGGCACGAAAATGTACCGTGATTTGAAGGAAAGTTACTGGTGGTCTGGAATGAAGAGGGAAATAGCCGAGTACATCAGTCGGTGCCTTACTTGTCAACAAGTTAAGGCAGAACATCAGCACCCAGCAGGCTTATTGCAACCACTCTCCATCCCTGAATGGAAGTGGGAGCACGTGACTATGGATTTCGTGGTAGGCTTACCACGGACTATCAGGAACTATGACGCGGTTTGGGTCGTTGTGGATAGGCTCACAAAGAGTGCACACTTCTTGCCTATCAACACTACCTACCCACTTGAGAGGTTAGCCAAATTGTATACGGAAGAGATCGTGAGGCTGCATGGGGTCCCGGTGACCATTGTATCTGATAGAGACCCACGATTCACATCACGTTTTTGGCCGAAATTCCAGGAGTCTATGGGAACGAAGTTGAAGTTCAGCACTGCTTTCCATCCACAGACGGATGGGCAGTCTGAAAGGGTTATACAGATCCTAGAAGACATGCTGAGGGCTTGTGCATTGGAGTTCCAGGGGAGTTGGGACAACCACTTAGCACTTGTGGAGTTTGCCTATAACAACAGTTATCAGGCAAGCATCGGCATGCCTCCATACGAGGCATTGTATGGGAGGAGGTGCCGTACACCGTTATGCTGGGACGAGGTTGGCATGGCCAAACTCGAGGGTACTGAGTTGGTGGAGGTCACCAAATCAAAGGTGAAGTTAATTCGAGAGAGACTCAAGGCGGCTCAGGATAGACAAAAGAGTTATGCAGATAAGCGTCGAAGAACCTTAGAGTTTAAGGTTGATGACGAGGTATTCTTGAAAGTTTCTCCTTGGAAAGGGATCATTCGGTTCCAAACCCGAGGAAAACTTAACCCACGATATATAGGTCCATTCAGAATTATAGAGAGGATTGGGGCCGTTGCATATCGTCTACAATTGACTCCTGAGTTAGAGAAGATACATAATGTGTTTCATGTATCCATGCTTAAGAAGTATGTGCATGATCCCTCTCACGTATTGGAGAAGCCACCTGTAGAGGTACGTGAGGATTTGAACTACGCTGTTCAACCTATCAAGGTCACCGATAGAAAGGTGAAGAAACTGAGGAGCAAGGAAGTCCCAATGGTTAAAGTCCTGTGGAAGAGCGATCGGGTCGAGGAAGAGACATGGGAAACAGAGGCTTTGATGAGGAAGCAGTATGCTTTCCTATTCGAGTAGAACTGTGAATTTCGGGGACGAAATTCCTGTTAAGGGGGGGTGAACTTGTGACACCGCACCCGAACGCCCTTGAAAATTCGATTTAAAATTTAACATTTATGTATTGAATTTCCGATTTCCATACAATTGTAAAACGATTAATGTTTTACGTAGTGCATGATTGAATATCGTACTGTTCAAACTCGTATGTTAGTGTCGGGTTTTGCAAACACTTTTTGGGTCTTATTAATAAATAAAAGAGCCCAACATTACCTAAATAGTAATACATAATCCTTCAAGACAATTTGAGGAAGGTCGGGCGGCCCAAACATTATTTTGGGCCCAACCTACTAAAAATAGCAAGTATTCGAGAATGACGTTCTAGACCCACTCGGGAGTGACCCACACGGCTAGTAGCCCAATAATATGTATGACAAATGTCCAATAAGTGATAGAATGATTAAAGGAGAATACAAATGCCTATAACCCCATCTTTGGCATTATTGAGCTAAATAATGGGAGTAGGATTTTCCTTCTAAAATATCCATCAAGTAAATTATTGGGATGAGCCTACACATATTGGAGATCAATAATGTGATTTAATAAGTTGACTTGTTCTAAATAAATTAGGATGAGTACAAAAAGACATCTTTGACAAAAGATAAAACAATAGGACCCATCTTCCTATTTTTGGAAGTATTGGTAGATGTTTTGGACCCCAAATTGATTGGGATCACTTGGGGAGCACCCCACACCTTCTTGGAACCTGAAAAATAAAGAGAATGAGTTAAAATCCTTGGTTGGGGCGGACAAAAAGAGAGGGGGGCTGAACAAGACATGTTTGTGAACCAAATGGACCCTCTCCCCATTTTTTTTGATTGAGATATCTTGCTCAATCATCCCACATGCCAACCCACTCCTATCCTTTGACTTTTGAGGCTAAGTTAAGGCCAAGATAACACTTCCCCAGCTCCCATTCGAACTCCCCAAGATAAGAGAGAAGAAGAGAGCCACACAACCTAAAAGAGCAAGGAGAAAGCAAACTGCCCGCAGGTTTTTCCTCCAGTGAAAGGGTTACTTGTTTGCTTCATATCTCGAGTTATACACATCCAAATAAGGCGTGCGAGATACCAACAGAAAGCTCTCAAGACGAGGAATCCGTGAAGGTCTGATTTGCATCAATCGGAGTAGTGGAAGGCTTCCAAATTGACCGAGCAAAACACGACCTCGCAGGAAACGTTTTTGTATTCAAAGTAAGTTTGAATCCAAAACCTTCCTCCCTATTGTCTAAATCATATAAATGATTGAAGAACTATTATACACTGATTGAAGTGTATAAAATGTTATTATTATGTGACTTTAATTGTTGGAAAGGTTAGATACTAACCTAGACAAAACCTTGAAAGGTTAGGGAACGAATTCGTCGGGAAACACCCGTTCTAGGGACTGTTTTGCGTTTTCGGTTGGGAGTTGAACTAGCACTTTGAGGGGGCTGTTTAACACTCAATTTCAAGCAAGGAATCAGTTCTCAAACCTTCTTGGCCGAGGCTTTGGTCATTGGATCGAGAAGGAAGGTTTTAAAGCTCATTTGAGGTGAGGATTGACATCTAATTGCTTACAACTTGTAGGTTAAGCATGAGATTACCTAAATGCTTAAATCATTATTTTTCATGGATTATGATGGTTACATATTGATGAAATATTGATATAGTTGCCAAAGAATGAAATTTGAAATGATTTGAGAATGCATGAATATTATGAGATTAAATGAGTATAAATGAACTATCTTTGTGAAATAGGCATTTTGCTCATGTATGAATTATGTGGTTACATAAATGAATAATTGTGTATTGATATTGAATACTTAAGTTGCTGCTACATAATTATAATTATGTAGAGAATTACAAATAATGAGGATAATGGTATGATAACAATAATCTTAATAGTATTGAAATACTAGTTAGTGATTATTGGAACTTGTTGATTAAATTGATCCTAGGGATTGGATTGTATGAAAGATACTTGAATGTAGTTCAAGTGTATCTAATAACCTAGTAAGGAACTAAGGTTAAGTTATGGGAAGTCTTTAAGGATGACCCATGGTAGTTTAATGATATGTCAATTCTAGGCATAGGGTTGCTTGAGAATTGGACCTTAATGCATGGTGATGTGATAGAGCCGAGCTCTAGAATACATGTAAGGTGTAGACTTGGAGTCTATGTATTGTATAGCTAGAGCCGAGCTCTAGGACTTGCGTGGTGATGTGATAGAGCCGAGCTCTAGAACGCAAGGTAGGGAAATTGACCCGAGGTATATGAATTGTATGGTGATGTGGTAGAGCCGAGCTCTAGAATACAATGTCATGAACTAGGGTTGGACTCTAGGAGTTGTCGTGGCTTATAGTCACGGGGTTGGGAATGGTGATTTTCCAAATGAACATGGGCCCACGGGCCGGCTACTTGACTTTTATATAAAGTAAGTATATTTTTAAACGGGGTAACTTAGGGTTACAATCATAATGTACTATCACCCTATTTGAGGGTCTTGTGTTTGAAATACTTGTTGTATATCTATTAGATGCCTGCCACACCAGTACTTTATAGCCGTATAGAGTACTGACCCCTTCGGGGGCGTCCCACCACCATTTCAGGTTGAGGCTAGAGCTTGCATCCTGTGCTCGTTGATCGGGCGATTCCTCGGAGAGAAGACTTGGTTCGTGCTTCCTCCGTTCTATTTGAAACATTATTAAATTTGCTCATGGATATTTTACTATAGAGCCTGCGTGCTCATGAATAGCCCTGTGTGGCTCTTTTGTTTTAAATAATGTTTTCCGCTGCGTTATGAATTACTTATTATGTTTGTTTATGGATGTTATATGTGTGAATGATATTCATGACGCCTTGTATAATATGAATGTGTTGGACTGCGGTTGACTATTCGTATTGTACGGCGGGTTGTTGACGTGTCCGGGTAGGTCCGGGGCGTGACATATTGCCCTTTCAGTTCATAAGTGAGAACTGAAATGGCAGCAGACGCCCTCTATCCTGTATGAATGATAATAAGCATTCTGAGCCATCTCATTATCTTGTATAGTCATTTGGGAGCTTCTGATTTTGTAAAAAGACTTAATCTGTTTCTTCTAAGTATTATTTTCATAGTATACTCCAATTCTTTGTGAATTTGATACTTGTTTATGTCTTGTACTGGTATAGTGGTATGCTGTTGTTAAGCTTGTATTAAGTTTGAGTTTATATGAAATAGAATTGGATTGTCGTGTTCTTTTTCAGTCTATCTTGTGACACTACTAACACATCAATATGATATATATGATATATTATGTAATCCGGTAAGCTGGCAATGATGAATCTTCCACTCATTACTGAATCTAAGGGGTTTAGGGTAGGTATTGTTCTTTCAGTTCGTAAGTGAGAACTTAAATGGTAGTAGATGCCCCCTATCCTTTATGAATGATAATAAGCATTCTGAGCCATCTCATTATCTTGTATAGTCATTTGGGAGCTTCTGATTTTGTAAAAAGACTTAGAGTCCGCTTGGTAGCAAGAAAATCGGCTGATTTGGTTGATTCTACTGAAATTTATGAAGTTCTGGCTGAAGTGGCTGCATTGGCTGATTCAAGAAAAAATTATTTTTAAAATATATTTTATTAATAAAATAAAGAAAAAGTTATATGTAAAAATAGCTTAAATGATCATCTACAGTAACTTCAGCCAATACAGCCAGAAAAGTAACTCCAACCTTACTTTTTCTGCTTATTACACAATTCAGCACGCGAAAGCAAAAGTTACGTGTTTGGTAAAAAAGTTGGCTGATAAGCCTGATAAGTCAAAAAAATGTGTTGCCAAACAGCCTCTTAATCTGTTTCTTCTAAGTATTTTTTTCATTGTATACTTCAATTCTTTGCGAATTTGATACTCCCTCCATCCCTTATAACTTTGCCAACTTTCCTTTTTTGGTTGTCCCAAAAACTTTGCCACTTTCCCTTTTAATCAATCAATTTGTGGTTCCAGTTATTTCTCTCTCCTCTGCACAAATCTCTACCACACAATTTTTACTTTATTATTATACGTGTCAGTCAAACATGGCAAACCTTTAAGGGACGGAGGGAGTACTTGTTTATGTATTCTATGTTGTATCCAGGTAATGAACTTGTTAAGTTTTGGCATATCCAAGCTGGGAAGTGGTCAAGTACTCAACTACTCAAGTGTCAAGTGAGAACTTATGATTTTGCCTATTTGGAATTTTAAATGTCAACTTGTAAAGTTGTAACATTTATAAGTTTGTACTTTATAACATGGTAATTTGTAAACTCTATTTGTAGTCCCAAGTGTTGGAAAAATGTGTGAAAAATTGCATTAAATGGTAATTTTGGGGCAGTTTTTTGAGTGGGGTCCACTTCTGATTTGGGTCGGGTCAAAGTGGTTTCGGATTGTCCTTGTTTAGGGCTACAATTCGATATGTGGTACGCTCAAAACGGATAACGGGTGAATGAGAAATCGCTTTTCGAAGTTTACCCGTCATAATGGAAAAACTGGGAAAAAGGATGAGTTTCTAGTGTGTTATTTCCCACACCGGAAAACCCATGGGATTTGCAACCCTTTATAAAGGGACTCCCCCCTTAAGGAGTTAAGATTCCTTATGCTAAAGGCTCTCTCCACACGCGCAAGGGGGGTGCAAATCAAATCCCGAAATCGGAGAAGAAAAACCGCGACTTGCGTGCGCGGGCGACCTGCGGACACGAATGTCGTCCAAAAATCTATCTCTCAAGAGATAAGGTTAATTTTTGTTTTCTTCCCGAAGGCGCATCTGAACCGTTACAACAATAAATGCCCAACGTTCTTATCTTTTAATGCAACATTAAATGGACAGTTCATGGACGATTCAATGCCCAACGGACTGGTCATTGATGTCCAACGTTCAGGTCCATTAATTCACCATTTGCACACAACAAATCCTCTTATATAATGGCTGGCAGGTGGTTTGCAACAACACAGGTTGATACACACGTTCATACACAAGCTCACGTATTTCTTCAGCTAAAAACACCTTCAGTCTCTCTCAAAATTTCCTAAGTGTTCACACTGTGTTCTCGTTCGCTCGAACTTTTGTTTGTGTGCTCAAACATTAGTTCGTAGTCATCGTATCCTGGGAAACGATTGTTGCAACGCTCCTAGCACCGTGGGAGGCAACAAATACGTTTTAAGGACATCGTGCGTAGCACGAGCTTTGACTAATTTCTGCTCCATCTTATTTCTGTTTTCTTTCGTCATTTTAATTAATTTATTTTAATTAATTTTCTTTATTTTCCGAAACACACCCAACACTAAGTTCCCAACTGGCCAACTCCCAAACATTTAAATATTTCATGTTGTTTGGACTTAAACTCTTTATGTTTTTAGTTTTAACTTTTAAGATTTCCATTTTGCCATTTTGGTTTGCAAACTTCAAATTGTATTTAAAGTTTGAATTTTTTATTGCTAATTTTGTAACCCGAAATAACCCGAAACCCGACCCACACTCGAAATTAACCCGAAATTAAGTTATTTTAAATGCATAGGATCGGGTATCCATTTAGGTCACCCGAAACCCGAAAGGGTCTTGGGTTTTTGAATCCGCCCGACCCGAACCCGACCCGTGCCCCCTAGGAGTGATGATGGTTTTGCTCTGACCATGTTAGGCTCATTTAGACCCACTACATGATCAGCCAATCATATTGCTCTGTCTAGGGTGATTGATTCTCCAGCTGGTTCGAGGGTCGGTGGCGTGTTTCCTTGATCTCTTGTGTCCCATGCTGAATGTTTTATTATCAATATTATAATGTTTTTTTATCAATATATGCCTCCTTGTTACAAAAAAAGAAAAGTTCACCACAAAAAAATTAATTAAAAAAATTAGAAATTAATTAAGTGTCCTCAAACATATCTGTTGTCCAAACACTCCCTAATCAACGCCTCTACCATCTTCGGATCGCAACATCTTCCTCACCTACAGACGACAGTCACTCGAGAGGAGCCAACGACCTGCACCGATCACCGCTGCGACCCACCCAACGCAGGCGGCACGCCGCAGTCCGTAGAATACTCGGAGTTTCGCCACACGACTTCAGCCAGCCAGGTAAACGCCGCAGAATACTAGTTAAGCTTTATTATTATATATCATACATATGTTGGTCAATCCAATCAATAATCCCCGGAGGTATAATTAAATGAAATAATGAATGCCATAGATCAATCCATTGTCATGATCATTGAAATTTAATGTCAAATTTGGTTCATTGGGGTATTATAGTTTTTATTTTCCAATATCATTTTAGATCTCAATTCCACGTCTATCATGCCTATGGATCAGGCTGAGCTCACCACTGAGCAGGTCAGTACTCAACACCCTTCTCCCCCAAATCTCCCTAACGCATGTACATGTATGCTTGTGATTGCACTCCTGAGATTGAATGAACTTTGTTCTGAATTACAAACAAATTGTAGTTGTATCCCAATCATCATCATCATTACCCCAGTGCCGCAAAGGCTCCCACCTCCGGATGACCCATAGTGAAAATCACGTCAAAAATTGCGGACTGATTGCTTCTTCACAACAAAGAAGCGCATACAATTTAGTGAACCATTTTCTTTATTCCATCATATTCCCAAGTCAAAAAAATAGTGAGTCTTTGGCTCCATTGCAAATGATGGAAAATGTAGTTATATCCAAATCTTTTACTCATATTCAGGGGAGGACTTGGGGGTACTGGGGCAAGTGCCCCACTATCCCGAAAGTAGTATTTAATACTTATCTACTTTATCAGGGCAGCATATGTTCCAGGTAAGTATTATCAATTCTTAGTTGAAGATAACTCTTAAATGTCGTAGAAGATGCTGAGAAAGAACATTGCTAAGTTGAACAAGAAGAAAGAATTCATCATTTAAAAACCAATCAATAAACAACACTGCTTTGACCTTAATTTATTTAAAAGAACAACATAATGTGACATCATTTTGGATTAACTAGATTTTAAAAAAATCAAATGTCATTGGAACAAAGTGTCCCTACTACCACTGTACAATCATGGACAACTTGTGGGAGTTGTGGCTATTTTTTGCTGCCTTAGTTGCAAAATGTAGTTCCTGTTTCTGTAAACAATGCTTGACACGTGATAACATTAACTCTTCTCTAACAGTATTTTACTGGGTATAAATAAAAAGTTCTATATTTAAAAAAAAAACTTAAACTTTTATTTGTTCGAAAAAACAAATTTGAATATGATAAAAATTTGATATAAAATAAAAATAAAATAAAATAGAGTTTTGAGTATTGGTGAAAAAGTGAATGAGAACATTATTTTGGGACAGATGTACTGTTTCATTTCAAGCAAGTGCAAACACATTTTACTGTCCGGCGTGAAGGGTTAGGCATGGTCTTGGGATGGAACTGTTTTTTTAAAGTCTAAAAATGAACTGGAATTTCAGCCCGGAATCTAAACTGGTGTACGATGATCTAATTCTAGTTATTTGTAGATGGGCCGACATTGGACAATTCCGGTTCAGATTTTATTTTTCTTTTTAAAAAATCACAAGTTTCCTACTTATAAGTTATAACAATCCAATATGGGGTTGAGAATTGCAATCTGCTGTTGTATAAATCCCCAACTCGCACCAATTAACCCGCGGCTTGATGAAGGTTCTTCAATTTGGATAAAAATGGCTGATTTCCATCCTTACCAGCCTGCCCTGCTTGGGATAACCTCTGGGTCCACCACTGCTTTATTGTCTGACTTCAAACTTTAATCTTGCTTTGTTTTGAAGGTTTTGACTAGGGATATTCCCTGGGAGACTTACATGACAACAAAGATGATCACAGGGACTGGTCTTCAGCTGTTAAGGCGTTATGATAAGAAGACTGAAAGTTACAAATCCCAGCTTCTTGATGATGTACACATTCTGCTACTTTTTTTCCATTTTTTTGTGATATTCACCTGTTCTGTGTTGTTATTAGATCAACCCCTGTCTTAAGTTCCAATATTTATAATTTCAACCTTTTTTAAATAATACATAGATGTAAGGAAGCTATGTTTTCCTGGGAAACCTATGATGCTCAAGGATACCATATGATGTTGGGTTCACCTAAGACACATTATCTCATATCCTGTGGTGGCGTAAAGGCACCATATATCTTTATTTATATGATTCTTTCAGCACACATGAAGAATAGCTGTTATAAATGATATTTTTTAATGGAATGTAACTATGGTTCACAGTCATTGTCAACCTCTAGGTTGCCCTTGTTATTCTTATAGAGCTGACTCCTGCTTTGTTGTTCGCCCTTGTTTGGCTTTTAAAAATCAAAAGAGCTTTGGTATATTTATTTTCCCAGAGCCTGGCATTCTGCGGAAGTCCAGGATAAACTTTTGATTACGACCACATCCTTAATTCCTTTTAATTTAATCTTCAATAAATGTGTTTCATGTTTTGGTCTGATACTGCTAATTTTACTGCTATTCTCAAAATATAGTGTTGTCGTGAAATAAATAGTTCACCACTAGTTTATCTAGATCTTCTATATGAACAGTCAGAGAGCATTTGGGATAACTTGTTTTTAAGAATGTGTGTTTTTCAGAGGCATAAAGCCCCCCCCCCCCCCAAAAAAAAAAAAAAAAAAACGTGGGTTGCAGGAATATGGAAAAGGTGCCTTCAACTGTAATAAAGCACATTTAATGGCTATTTAACCAAGCAAGTGATTTATGTATTTCAAAAAAGCAATGTAAGTGCTTAAATGAGGAAACACTCAATAAGAAAAACACTTGTACAATAAGTTATCCCAAACGGGCTCCGACTCTTGAGTTATTAAGGTTGTCCCGTTTACATTAATCTTGATTCTGGATTTAATCTAAAAAATTAGACAATTAGCCGAGTCACAGTGACAATGCCTTTCAGTGAGGTCTCCTATGTGACATGCATGGTTTATAAAAAGTGCTCAAGTGACAACTGACAAGTTGTGAGGTGCGCTTCACACTGAGGCGGTCAAAGTAGGTTCTGAGGCTTACGCCCCTTTTGCAAGTTATGAGTCTTATGCCCTTAACAGGTGGGATTTTTTAGAATCAAGTTGTAACCTAATAAGGCTCAAGGAGTAAATTTCATCAAGAAGCCCTAAATTCTATTTTCCAACTATTTTCTCTTCTTATTTTCAGTAAGGTTCAAACAACTAAAACAGCTCCAGTTTGTATTTATTTATTATATATATATAAACAATAACAGTAGAAGTAACATAACTTCTTTTTATTCAAATTGCTCCAGAATATCAATATCTCCAGGATCCACCCATTTCTTTTCTATTGTTATCATTTTAACAAGCTTTTTCGATTCTTCAAAAGGAGTACACGTCTCATTATCTTTTCTTTAAATTGCTAAACTTATGATAGTGTACCATGACACATATTTATGGCTCATTTTTATGATTTTTGATAATATGTTTTTGATCATTAGGAATTTTGAATCTTAAATGAAGTATTGTATAATGCCTGAGGCTTACGCTTCAAACCGCTTTGAGGCTTACACTTTGCGTCATAAGTGCAAAACGCCTGAAGGCGTAAAAGCAATTTTTTAAACATTGGTGAAAGGACTAAGATGTTATGCACTTGCATGTTGGTTCTATATCCTGTTTAAAACGCCTCAAGTTTCATTGCTACACATTCTTCATCTATGGTTTTAAATTTGTCAATATCATCATTTATTCATTGTCTGTCAGAGTCAGCCATGAGAGATCCATTTTGTTGGAAGTTTGTAAAATGGCACAATTTGGAGGCATTAACTAATTGATACTTCTATAGGATGGCTCAGCTTATGTCCGAGTGTTTGTTAGCATCCTGAGTGACATTCACAAAGAAGAAACATTGGAATATGTTTTAGCTTTAATTGATGAAATGCTTACTGGTAAGTAGAGGTAGTTATTATCAGTCTGGTTGAGTAATCAGTCTGATTGAGTTTATCTTACCCGTTTCTCATTCCCTTGCAGTTAACCCAAAAAGAGCCAGATTATTCCATGACAAGTCTCTTGCAGACGAGGACACTTACAAACCTTTCCTAAGGCAATTGCTTTTTCTTATGTTTATTAATTGTCTCAAATATTCTGGATTTGCAGATATCTTTTCTTATATGTCTTTATATATGCAGTAGTAAGCTGTTATACTAACAGATAAGTGCAACACTTTTCTATTTATAGCTCCTGCTATAAAAAATAAGATTTTTAAAATATCATTATATAATTTCTTTTGCTAATCTCACTTTATTGTGGTTACTAATATTGTAAAAGTAATGATGTCACCTGTTGTTGTAACAAGTACGTGCATCGCTTTTGTAGCTATAACTTCTGCTATTAAAAAAGGTGATTATTATTTTTTAAAGCAACAGTTAAGCATTTATTTTCCTTATCTCACTTTGCGGTGGTTACCAATGTTGTACAAAGAGAGCACCAGAATAGGTCCTGTGCCTAGGCAGGGATTGATTGGGGTTAGCAGGGTTTAAAGATAATTAGGTGGGCCCTGAGTCAGGAAAGGTGCAGTTGGTGAATGGCATCCTAGACTTTAGATAGGGATGTTTAGAATATCGGTGGACCCCTTTCTCTTCATCTCAACTACTGCAATGCCCCGGAGCACAGTATTACTTTTATATGAATGTGAAGTACCATTTTTTGTTATAGTAGTGTTCATATTACAATATTACTTTTGTGTTATCATCTCGGGTCTTTTCTAAACCATGAAGCTCTCTGTGACTCTCCAGACTGATTTTGGAACGTAACTGGTTTATACAAGAGAAGAGTTGCAAGATACTTTCATTGGTAGTAAGGTAATAAATTCCTTTTTGTGAGGAGACTTTGGAGGATTTGTTGAACTTCACAAAAACTATAACTTTTTTCCAGTGCCAGGCCAAAAGTTGAGGAAGATGGTGTTGGTAATGGGGATGCCACAAATTCAAAAAAGAAACTGACTAGCACTGATGATGTTTTAAAGGGCCTTGTTGAGTGGCTCTGTGTACAGGTTTGTATAATGCCAGGCTGCAACTTGCTTTCCTTCTTAGAGCTTGTTTAGAAACCTACATTTCCTTTTTTTTAAAAGAAATTTCAGCTGTTGTTGATAAGGTAATCATGTTTGGGTCTTTGGGAACATTCTGCTTTTCCCATATAAGCTCTCAACTGATTTTGAAACTTGGAAACTTGTAGCTTATGGTTATTTACATTAACTTACTTTACTTTTTCTTTCACCTGTTTTCATACTATTTTACCTTGTTGCATCCAAAAAACTTCTATATCCAAACCACTTTTCAGCAAAGTTTACCCAAATGAAAACAAGTTCTGGTTCTAATTGATTACATCAATAAGTGATTAATCAATTATTGAAATAATATTTTTCAGCTATCCCAATCACACACTTAGTTTTAGCCTCTTCTAGAAGAAAAAGAGAGATGGAGCCATGGAGTAATATCATTTCACCTGGACCTATAAGATATCCTTAAATTGAAGCATTATAGGAATATTTTATTCCCAATAGCTTTTGGGAGCCATATAACATATTATAAGACATGTTTGACTCAGCTGAGAAGACCAACTCATCCTAGTCATGGCATTCCGACTGCAATCAATAGCCTTGCAACTCTGTTGAAAGAGCCTTTGGTGCGATCACTATTTGTTCAAGCTGATGGAGTGAAGCTTCTTGTTCCTTTAATTTCTCCAGCTTCTACCCAGCAGTCTATCCAGGTGGTGCTTTGTATTAAATATGTCTTATGCTACAAATGTCACATATATGCTGGGAATTGTCAGACATACTCATATACTACCTCCTCAAATAGAGTCTTGTTTAACATGCGTACAATCTTTTTTTTTTCATCAATTGCAATGGAGCCAAAGATTCATTATTTTTTGGCTTGAGAAAATGATGGAGTAAAGCAAATTGGCTCACCAAACTGTCTGCTCTTCTTTGTTATGAAGCAGCAGTCAGTCCATGCAATTTTGGACGCGATTTTCATTATGGGTAATCCGGAAACAGTCTCTCTGTGCTTTAGTACAGGGGTAAGATTGCGTACATCCGACCCCCCCTTACCCCACTGTAGGTGGGAGCCTTTGCGGCACTGGGGTAAATGATGATTTATGCTATTTTTCTTTTAATTAGTAACACTTGTAAGCATGTAACTTGTCTGGGTCTATTTTTGGAAATTGAAGGAAAATTAGCTTCATTTGAAATTGGACTCGTTTTTCAGGAATGCATTCTGCTACACGCAACCTATTAATTCTGAACTGATTTTCTTTTGTTACGTCATACTTCTGCTCTTCAAATTGGTCACATGTCTGACTTCTTCTCTTCCTTGTAACAGCTCCTCTATGAAACATGTCTATGCCTTTGGCTTTTGTCATACTATGAACCTGCAATAGAATACTTGGCTACTTCGAGGGCCCTTCCACGGTTAATAGAAGTTGTTAAAAGTTCTACCAAGGAAAAGGTCAGCCATATAGTTCGATATGGGCCTTCTTCAATGAACTTCCATATACGACATGTTTATGCTCAAATTCCATATTTGTTTTTCTCATTTTCTACTTTCTAACATACTCTGATGCATTCATAATTTGTGCTTTGTTGTTACTCTACCTACTCATTCTTCATTTTAGGGTCTGTTAAATTCAAGCTTTCCTAATCTGTACAAGTCATACACAAACAGATGTTCCTATCTCTCATACTCTCTGTGTCTATATATGTGTGCGTAGAGACGATTACTTTCAATTGGAAACTATATTTCTATTGGACAATGAGAAGAAATCTAGGCTCTTTATGTTACTAGTGTCGTGCGTGCGAGATCTCATCATGGGCCATCGGGCAAGTGGGAGGGAAAACTGAGATTTCAGGCTCTTTGAGAGGATACTGGGAAGAACTAAATTCTAGAATCATGCATTTTTTTATAGTAATAGAAGTAGGAGTTTTAATTGAGAACTCTGCAAGTTTCCCTAAACTTTTCTGGCTCCAATTTTTTTGCATACTATTTCATTATTCAACTGGCCATAAATAAAGAAGGCAACCAAGAAAGGAAATAATGTAATCCAAAATGCAAGGAAAATGCAATATACTAATAGTTGCTCAATCTCCAAAGATTTTCAGATTCTCATTTGTCAATTGTCTTTAAGATTTGTGTGATTAGTCTGTGTGAGTTGCTGATTGCTGCCTTTCCTTTGTTTGCGGTGATTCTGACGCCGTATGAACTCATCACTTCATCACTTAGATACTTACAAGGGGGTGATTTGTTCAAATTTTCACAGGGCAGAACTGCAGAACCTTGAATACATTTAATTTTAATGTGCAGTGGTTAATGATACAACACTCCCTTTGTACGTGTATACATAAGATAGAACTTCGGTGTACTTGTGAAACTACCTCTATACCTTTTCTGTCATGCACATTTAGTTTCAGACAATGATGCACTCTTTTCATGTATAAAAGTGCACTCTTGTGTATGCAAGGATGCACTATTTTTTACTTCAATGTAGTAGAAGTAAACTCTTATGCTACACCACGGTTTGCCTTAGTACTCTCCATTTTATCAACAACCAATATTAGTTTTTTCACAATGATAGTAAGCTGCATTGGAATTATGTTTGTGTATGTGTGTATACACACTTATTAAAGCATTACACGTGGTGTATCAACTTGTAGGTTGTCAGAGTTGTTGTCTTGACTCTGAGGAATTTGCTTTACAAGGGGGCGTTTGGTGCACTTATGGTGGACCTGGGAGTACTTCATGTTGTTCAGAGCTTGAAAGCACAAGCTTGGAGTGACGAGGTGGGAAAATGGGGCTCAGTGGCACATGAATTTTACTACCTCCGTCCCAAAATACTTGGCCAAATTCAAAACTTTGACCAATTATATATATATTTATTGGAAATTATTTACCATGTAAAAATGATATGAAAATGTTCTTTGTCAAAAGTATTTTCATAAAAGTATAAAGTTTATAACTTTCATTGCCATTTTCTTTAGGATCTTTTGGAGGTTCTTAACCAGCTAGAAGAAGGGCTGAAGGATAAGATTAAAAAATTGAGTTCATTTGACAAGTACAAGCAGGAGGTCCTTCTTGGTCATCTAGATTGGTCTCCTATGCATAAAGATCCGTCATTCTGGAGGGATAACATAACAAATTTTGAAGAGAATGATTTCCAGGTATCACATATTCAACTTTGCATTGTAGAAATGGCCTCATATTTTTCTGCGTGAAAAGTTGTCGTGAGATGTCTATTTTCATCATCATCATCATCATCACCATCATCATCATCATCACCCCAGCTCAGTCTGTAGTCTCAATAAATATCTCTATTACTTAACACTAAGTTAATGTAAAAAATCACGGTGATGTTCAAGCCTTATGTCTTTAATGCTGCAAACCTTCTAAATAATACTCCGTAAATAATAATGAATAACGGCAAAACTTCCATCATAATAAGACAGCAATGAAATGAAATATTTTCCTAGTCATGTCTCATTGCAAAGTTAATAGGGTTAATTTTATGGGACCCCCTTCGACTAGGGGAGTTGTATCTCATAATTTCTTTTCAATTTTCGATCTCCTCCATCTTTATCTCATCAATTACATAACAAAATATGATCATGTGATTCATGTTTCTCATACGTGTGTGCACATTAATGATAACTTTTTTGTTCAAGCTTATTTATAACTTTTTTTTTTTCCAAACTCATTCTGAAATTGGAATTAGGGTACTGATGATGTTTATTCCTCAGCTTATTCACATTCGTTTAGGGCATACACTTGGACATAAACTCATTAGCAGTTCATCTTTACCTTCATTTAAATTAGAGCTATGAATACATAATTATTTGGTTCAAAGAAGCATATTGCACACCATAAATGTAAAGGGATTGGATTGGACAACTGCAATGTTGGATGGAAATTGGTACTTACAAAAACTAGAGTGTGTCAAGTTTTACAGAAAGAAGTCCAATTTTAAATGAGAAAATCATTATGATTAGATAGTTTCCATGAAATTAACCCAAATTAATGTTATAAAATGAACTTGGGTATGGTTCAATTGATCATGGAACATGAGTGTGGTGTTGTTCTCTTAACTTTATTTTTTTACTTCTTATTTAATTAACTATATTAGACCAAAAAGATTATAATCATACCAAACGAGATCACATGTAATTTAGCCAAAAAACCCGACAAGATCATAAACATACAAACCAGACCAGACTTGAATGATTCAGAATAAGCCCAGCCAGATCAAGAACATTTAGACCGTAGGGGATTTTGGCATTGATTCTTATTCTGTTTCATTAAATTAAAATCAAATTCTGAATGAAAAGTGGTTCTTTTTTAGTGTATGACATTGCTTTTGAATTTTGCCACAAGGCATTGCTTTCACCGAGTTGTAAATTTTAAAGATGGGAGTACCAAAAAGTGTCACAATGTTGAAATACTAAAATGGAAAAAGTTCAAAGACGAGCTAAAAGTGTAGTAGAAAGTCGAAACAATAGTGGGGGGCCTGGGGGCTAAATTGACAAAACTCTCAGATAAAATAAAATAGTTATAGGTGAAGAGGAACATATGTATGGCATGCTTGTGATATTATGGTGAACAGCATTATTATATACTGTTACAAACAAAAAAATATAAATAAAATAATGTTGAATATATAGCACAACAAAAGACTAATGCCCCCAAGTTGGACTGCAGATCCTGAGGGTCCTTATCACGATATTGGACACGTCGGGTGATCCAAGAACACTTGCAGTTGCTTGTTATGATTTGTCACAATTCATTCAGTGCCATCCTGCTGGGAGGGTAATCGTGACTGACCTCAAAGCCAAGGAACGTGCAATGAAGCTTTTGAACCACGAGAATGCAGAGGTCACCAAAAATGCTTTGCTATGCATCCAACGGCTCTTCTTAGGTGCAAAGTATGCCAGCTTTTTACAGACATAATCATATTTATTTAATTTATCTCCCACCCTCGTTCTTCCTGAATAAACTTCACCAATAATACTCATTCTGCATTCTGAACGTGAAGATGTGAGATGGGTTTTTATTAATATTCTGCATTCTATTGAATAAGGTAACTTGTGAGGGTCATGTTGGCAGGAATTATTTGCTTCAGCACCTACAGACTCTCAAATAGGGGATCTCTTGTAATGTATATTATGTATTAGTTGTACCAGAATCGATGGGGTTGACGTTTAAATAATTAAATCTTCGCAATTCCCATTTTTAATTTATTTGCTGATAATGCATTATTACTCCCGAAACTGTTAGAAGACCGCCTAGGCCTTTAATTAAATATTTCAATCCATAGATTCCAATTTTTAATTTATTTGCTGATAATGCATTATTTCTACAGAAACTGTTAGAAGACCGCCCAGAGCCCCAGACGGCTAGACCCTTAATTCAATCCATAGTTATAAGTAGGGGTGGACCTGGTCCGGTCTCAGATCCGGTCCGGGACCGGCCAGACACCGGGAAATAATATAGGCGCCCTGGACTGGCCCACTTTATACTAGTTCTGACGTTCCGGAGTTCGAGTGCTGGTTCTGGTTCGGTCCCCAACTATTTTGAACTCTATTAAAAGTGTAAATTTTTAAAGAAATTGTGCTACATTTAGTATCAATTACAAATTACAAATTTTATTAGGTAATAAATTTAATTAAATACATTACATTTTAAAATTGCCTATTCTCTTTATAGCGGGAGAGAAATCAAAGTCAACATATATCAAATAGAATCTATATAGCCTAGTGCTGGACTCGGGCCGGTTCGGGCCCGGTTCGGGCCTGGGCCCGGCCGGTCCTCGGGCCAGGAAAGGGAGGCCCGAGCCCGAACCGCCGGTGGCCGGTTCCGGGCCAAACCGGGCCGGGCCGGGCCGAACCGGCCCTATTATTTTTTTTTTTGGCTAAAGGGTCAAATAGGTACATGAACTAACTTAAAGTGTTCAATTAGCCCCTTATATAGGAGGTTTTGCCCGGTCGTCGCCAATTGGGGCGTTTCCCGGTGGAATTTTTTGATGAAATTTTTTGAGCATCTTCTTCATTAAGTCTAGTTTATCCATACCAAATTTCAGCTAAAAATTCAACCGGGAAGGCAGTCAAATGATTTTTTGAAGATAATTGCGCAGGTAAACAACGCAGTACATTTTGAAAAATCATTTGACTGCCTTCCCGATTTAATTTTTAGCTGAAATTTGATATGAGTAAACTAGACTTAATGAAGAAGATGCTCAAAAATTTTCATCAAAAAATTCCACCGAGAACCGCCCCAATTGGCGACGGTCAGACAGAACCTCCTATATAAGGGGCTAATTGAACACTTTAAGTTAGTTCATGTACCTATTTGACCCTTTAGCCTTTTTTTTTTGTTCTCCTATTTAATCCCCTACCCCTCCCCCTCAACCCCAAACCATCCCAAACCACCTCAAATGGCCCAAAATACCAACCTAAAACTTAAAAAAATTTCAAAAAAAAAAAAAAAAATTAAAATCCGGCCCGGACCGGGCCCGAACCGGCCGGGCCGGTTCACCAAAACCTGGGCCCGGGCCCGAACCGCCCAGCAGCCGGGCCGGGCCGAACCGAACCGGTGGACCCACCGGGCCCCGGGCCGGTCCAGGCCAAACAGTAACCGGGCCGGGCCGGTTCCGGGCCGGGCCGCCCGGCCCGAGTCCAGCACTAATATAGCCTCTATAGTCTATTCATTGGAATTTTCAGTTGTCTCATTTGTTGTCGTTTCCCGTATAAAATGGTGTGTTGGTGCAATATTTCGTTCTTGGATTCACTGTCTAACAATCTAACCTTTAGCCCATCATGTGAGCACACAACTGTTTCAAGGGATTGAGGGTAGGGGTGGACTCGGGCCGGGCGGCCCGAACCGGAACCGGCCTGGCTCGGTCACTGTTTGAACCGGCCTGGCCCGGCAGCCTGGCCCATGGGCGGTTCGGGTCGACCCGGCCCGGTGGCTACCGGTTCCGGGCTCGGGCCTTCATTTTGGTGAACCGGCCCGGCCGGTTCGGGCCCGGTCCAGGCCGGTTTTTTTTTTTTTAATTTTTTTAAGTTTTTGGGTTGGATTGGGTATTTTGGACCATTTGAGGTGGTTTGGGGTTGAGGGGGAGGGTAGGGGGTTGATTAGGAAAACCCAAAAAAAAAATTATATAGAACAGAACTCGGCCCGGCCCGGCTCGAACCGGACCCGGGGGTTACCCGGGCCGGTTCCGGGCCTCCCCTACCTTGAACCAATGCCCGGCCGGTTCAAGGCCCGAACCGGGCCTGGCCCGAACCGAGTCGACCCTTAATTGAGGGCATTGAGCACTCCATTGTGTCCTATACTCGGTAAGGACATTGGCGACGCTACTGAACTAGCTGGTGAAACTAGCGCGAATAAAACTTATTTAACCATAGTTGATAATATGGGAAATATTGGTTCTTTGTCCTACTGTGTTAATATATCAAACTTTTTAACTTCTTCATATTCACAAGTGCTCGATATAATGACATCTCGTTAATCGAGCTTTGAGCAAAGACAGAAGTTGATTTAATTTTTCAAAAGATTTTTAAAGGTACTTCCAAAAAGACTTTTCCCTCGAGATGAAGAAAAGATTTCTTTCAGGGGTGTGGGTCGTTAGAATATTGTGCATGAATTTCATTAAATAAATACTCCGTATTAAAATAAATTACTAATCTCATTAAAATGTGCTAGAGCTTCTACATAGTTTTCCTCATACATAAGAAATAAGAGGGTCAAGAATAAAAGCAATGACATAAATAGGGGGGAATGGGAGAAATATTTTAAAATTATATTTGGAAGTTTCAAATTATTTAAATGCCGTATCAAGATTAACAATTTCAACAAAAATTATTTTACAAGTTGGTTGATAGACATGAGAAAAAGAACTTGTAGCATTACGAAAATAAACTAACACTTTTTGGTATAGTATCTATTTTCCGAGGTTCAATAATATGGCCACAATCATCTTTCAAAAAAGTAGACAACTCATTTCTAAATCTAAAAATCACATGAATTAATTCAAGAATTCCAACGAATAAATAAATCTTTTGGAAATTCACAATATTTAACATATAAAGATTTCAAGTACGCTTTCCAACATTGTTTAATAGGGCTACAACAACAAACCATTTTAATCTGATTTTTAGTATTCCCCATTACAGTACTCAAAGCCGTTAATCCGTTTTGGACACACAAATTTAAAATATGACAAGCACATCGTTGATGAATAATTCTACTTATATTATTTAAAGGACCACACAATTCACAAAATCTAGACATTAGTTGCATTATCAAATTCAAAAGCAAACACCTTATCAATCAAATTATATTCAGTAAAATTTTCTAAATTAAACTACAAATATTATCACTGGTGTGTCTGTAACTAAATTCTCTCCTAACAATAATCTATTATGCATAACCCAATCATTATCAATATAATGCATATTTACTACCAAATAATACAAATTATAATACTTGTCTTCTCAAATATCAGAACAAATAGTAACACGGTTGTAGAAAGTAGACAAAGTTGATTAATCTATCCTTTTCAAGATCATATGTCTCAATAACTTCTTTTTGATAGTTTTATAGAATAACTCTTAAATTGAGGATTTAGTGAATCTTGACCATACAAACGTAAGGAAAGACTTTCAGAAAAAATAAAATGCATTTTTTTCAACAACTAATTCAAATACTTCTTTTAAATGTTGTTCATTATTATAAACGAAGTTACCAAAAGGTTGAGAATTTACAAACCTTGAGATTTGCGTTTGCGTGTCCTTCCGATCCCTTTTGTGTTTCCATGGGGTGGTGAGCATTCAAATGCCTTCACACGGTGCCATAGCCCCCGGCTACACTCGTACTTACCTGGAGATTGCACCAATTGCAAGTTACCCACCATATGTCATCTTTGTAATTTTTCCTTTTGTTGAAAATGATAAACAAACTAGTCAGATTTTAATTGTTTTTAGACTGGCGCAAGTCCCTTGCTCATCTTTGGGGATATCTCTTCCTTGTTGATCCTAATATCAGGAAATTTCATCCGTCCCCCTCCTTCTCCCATTTGATCTCGTACGCTGAATTGTGTAATAATCAAAATAAGTAATATTGCAATTATTTTTCAGTTGGCTACATTGGATGAAGCTACTATACATGATCACTTTAGCTATTTCTTATATAGTTTTTCTTTATTTTATTAATAAAATATATACTACCTCCGGTTTTTTTTAATCTTCACAGTTTGACTTCACACAAAATAAGGAAATAAATTTGACTTTACTGTAGAGTACACTGTTGAGGCACTGTTTGACACTGTTTGGCACTGTAGAGACACTGTTTGGCACTGTTTTGATGTAGATTTCTTTGCAAAAAAAGGAAATAAGGAAGTGTGAAGTTTATTTTAGACCGTCCCAAAAAGAAAAGTGTGAAGTTTATTAAAAACCGGAGGGAGTATATTTTAAAAATAATTTTGTCATAATTCAGCAGATACAACACATTTAATCATATCGCTTAAGCCAAAATTTCATCAATATCAACAGATCCAACCGATTAAATCAATTATTCTGTTGCCAAATTGATTTTTGAATTTGGTATTGCTCATGTTTTAGTCATATTTTGAACAATTTCTTTAGTAATAATAATACTAATAGTAATAATAATAATAGCAATAATAATTTGTTTTGACTTTGATTGTCTTAAAACTTTATCACTTTCTTCTTTAAGTAATTATTAGTTTGTAGTCTCTACTTTTTTTAATCATCCGTGCAAATCTCAACTGTACATTTTTTACTTTATTATTTTACATGCTAGTAAAATTTGACAAAGTTATATCAATCTATCCATTGAACTTTGCCAATTTTGTTGTTTTTTTTGTTTGCCCCAGGAACTTTATCGCTCTCTTTTCAAACTAATGAATTTGTGATTCAATTTACTTTTTTTTCTTTGTCTTTACAAACCTCAAGAACATGTTTTTTACTTTTCTTTTTTACCTTCAACACAAAATTGACCAGAGTAATAATCCTTCATAATAAACGAGATATGCTTTTGTCAATTCCTTCCGTTAGTCCTAAATAATGCTTAATGCCAAACAGTCTTGCGACTCTTGCACACACGGGCCGGTGTATAGCATGAGGAGTGGCGTATCCAGAAACTTTGGTGAATGAAGGCAAACTTGACTACAATTTAGTCTCATATTTCACAAATAACAAATCACATTATTAATATTGTTTGATTAGATTTAGTTTATAATATCTATGTACAAGTATGAAAAAAA